ACGTACCTACCAATGTGCTTGGTAGCAGTATCCTCTGAGTAATCTGCGTTATAAAACAATAGCAGCTTCTCTCGAGAGTAGATGGGAGACGGAAGTGACTGAACAATACTGAACTGTCAAGAGACAAGATTCGGTTGGTAAACAATCAAACTCAGTTGATTCTTCGAACTCTTGAATCTCAGCGGCATGATTCTGGGTCGAAGAAACGACTCCTAAATAGCCACATATTTGTCTTCTAGGTCCTCCTCATCAGCCGAAGGAAATGTTCGAGTGAACCATTCTGGACCAAATTTTCGGCTGGCGAAGGGAGCCATGGTCGAAACAAAATTTTGACACTCTGCAAACATCATCACAAAGCTGGTAAAGGATTTTTGAAATTGCTGACCCTCATCAGTCGGAGTCAACAAGACTAACCTGGTACCTTCGACCCTCATATTCAGAATTTCTGGGGCCTCTTCATTTATCTTATTCTTTTGAGGAAGAAAAGATTCAAAAGTGGCGTTGAGCCAGAGTTGAAGAAGCCAAAAGGGGCCAGAGATGAGCAAGCTTGCCTTGTCTCTAATGACTTTGAGTTGAGTCACACCATTGCTGATGGACTCATACAGGTTGGCCAAGATCAATTCAGCCAAACAGAGAGGGTAACCATGGTGAAGTTGTGTTGCAAGCGTAAGCATCTTCTTAGTCACTTGAAGTGACTTAGTACAGAAGACGAAGCGAGATAGCCACATAGCTAAGAAGGCTATATGTTCCACCTCCGACACAGTGCTGCAAGATTTATCATGAAAATGATTGATAAATGTGGTATATATGGGCTTCGTGGTTGAAAACCCAATGGCATCCTCAGATAAATCTTCTGGGTCGAAGTAATCACCAGTCGGTCGAAGACCGGTAATTGCTGCTATATCAAAAAGGGTCAGGGTCACCATTCCACAAGGAAGATGAAACGTGAAATGGGTGTTGTCCCAGAAGTATAATGAAGACACTAACATGAGAGGGCAGTAAGATAACCCTGTCTTCGATAGCATCACCAAGTCATAGATCCCCATTTCTTTCCAGATTGAGATTTGTACCTTCTCCATTTTGTTCAGCCAGTCTGAATATTCTGAAGAAAGGCTGGGGCACGATCGAAAGATCCTATTCCCTTTATTCATGAACTGAAGATTAATATCTTCCTTCGTCTGAGCATGTTGTTGATTGGTTGGGGTTGCATCCTCAGGATCATTCCTGGGTTTCTTTGCACAGCCTGTAGGCTTAATCCTAGGGTGAGTCAGGAAGAAAGCACTATTTTTTGTGGGATTTTCGATGCATGCAGACAAAGGGCCAGACATGGCATATATATCCCCAGAATACCTGATGGGGATGAGGAGCTGGGAGTTGTACGCTTTGCGCCTTTCTTTGGTCATAGGTTCGGAGACGAACCTTAGCTCCTCAATCGAAGCAGAAGTAGAACTTGTGGGAAATATCTCTGGTTGACGTTGTACGTCAGAAACATTCTTGGGATTAGGGTTGTTTGGAGCATTGGAGAGGAGGGCCATTGTTATGAGTTGGTGAGAAATGAAGATGATAAAGTCACTATGGTATAAGGTATTTTTCTGCATAAGAGATGAAGAATGCTAAGTGTTGTGATAGTTCCAAAAGAGAGAGCTCAAGGCTATTTATAGTGCTCAGGGAGAAGTGTTTCACATCGAGGTCATTTAATGCTATAGACGTAGTGGGGGAACGTGGCAAGTAGTGAAGCAGTTACTGTGCAGGTGATGGAGAACGTTTGACATGCTTGCCTAGGTTCTAGGAGTAATGGCCATCATGGCAGCATGGTAACGGCTGATTGAAACGACGTCTCAGGAAAAAAGTAATGATGATTCTAAGTGTGGCAGTTGTTGGAAGGCGAAAAGTACACGTTAAGCCTTTATGGACAAAAAAGAGACAAGTGTCGAATAGGAACGTCAAAGAATGACTATTTCTCTCGGCGTCTAAATAGACATTCTTGGGGGGAAATTTGTTGGCTCTTAAATTCGACACCTATGATAAATTGGCCTTATGGGCCAAAAATAGAGCAAATGAAGCCAAGCTGGAAAACGCTTCGACGGGTGGAAAAACTTAGAGAAATATTTGAGTTACAAATTGGTTTTCGACCAGACATCGCCATCAAGCCTTTGACTGAAAAGGTCCTGTGACCTTCGACTAGAAGAACAACCCTCGTGTCAGCATCAAAGACGAAGGATATTTGAATTTGAAGAAGGGAGGGAAATGCAGTTCGCCTAGCAGTTAAGGGAAAGCGACGTGGCAGGAAGATAGAGGTCGAGGGGCATGCAAAGGACACTTGTCCTCATCCTAGAGCAAGGAAACCCCTCGACAGTTGCATAATTTTAGTATAAAGATAGGAAGTTTGTGTAAATTTTCCAGGTGTTCAATCTATTGTACTAGTCACTCAACATTATTCAAGTACCCGTTGTGTGTGAAAGAATAACTGAGAATGTACGTTGGAAACACCACCTTTTATTAATCAAATCTTTTACATTGCTTTGATATTATTTTGCAAAGTTTACGTTTCCTGCATTTTATCTGCATTTCTATTTGCTTTCCAAAACCACAAACACCAACTCCCCGATCGAACGTGTGTTCTTCCTAGATATTAACTTTTACATCAAACCAGCACAAAAATTAGCATATATTCTGGGATCAATCTGATCGATCCCGCGAGTAACCAAAAGGGCTTTCCTTTTTGGAGGATCAGCGGTTGTTTACCAAAAACCACGGTAAACAATGGGCCCATCAGATCTTGATGGTCCATACACCTCTCTCTTTTTAATTTTTTTAACAACTATACCAAAAACTAGTTTAATAAACAAAATTATTGGAATTCAACAAAAAATGATAAAAAGGAAAAGTTAATTATTGGTACCCTATGGCACATTTGGGGTATGATAGTGTGGCCTCACGAAGTGATGCTCTCAATTGAATCTCTTCGACCAAGTCGAGTTCTTCTCGCAGGGATTCATCGTTTAGTTCCTTATCAAGATGGAATTCGGTTCTCCTAGATGGTCCCATGATTTCCATTGGAATGACCGCCTCGGTGTCGTATGTTAGTCGAAAAGGAGTTTCCCCGGTTGTCGGGTACGGTGTCGTCCTATAAGCCTAGAGCATGATGTGCAACTCTTAGATCCAAATCTTTTTGGCTTCGCCTTGCCTGCACTTAATTCCTCGTAAGATGACTCTATTTACGGCTTCAACTTGCCCATTCGTTTGAGGGTTCTCGATAGACGTGAAATGTTGCTTGGTGCCGAGCTTGGTGATGAAATCTTGGATGTTTTGGTCTGTGAATTGCGTCTCTTTGTTGGTAAAGATCGCTGGTGGTACGTTGAACCGGTAGAGCATGTTTCTTTTGTAGAAACGAAGTATGTTGTGTGACCTGATTTTGGTGAGGGCTTCGGCCTTTATCCATATTGTTAAATAGTCGACAGCGACGATTAGGAATTTATTCTGGTACGGTCCTTGGGTGAAGGGCCCTAGGATGTCCATCCCCCACAAAGTGAACGGTCACAAGGACGATAATGTTTTGAGCTCGTGTAGGGGTTCTAGGTGTATATCTGCATGGCGCTGGCATCTGTTGCATTTTTTGACGTGCTCCTTAGCGTCATACTGCATTGTGGGCCATCAGTATTCTTCTAAGTGTTAGGAGTTGATTCCTTCATGGATTTCCTGCAAGATGTTGGGAACTTTAGTCTCTTCTACGCATTTAAAGAGTGAGATGGAGAATCCCCTCCTATAGAGCTTTTGCTCGATCATCATGTAAGAGCAAGCTCAACGTTTTGTTGCATTGGCCTCTTTTTGGTTGGCGGGTAGTTCTCCCTTGGTAAGGTAATTGAACATTGGGGTCATCTAACATGTATTGTCCCTGATGGTGTTCACTTTGGGCAATGCATCGGGCTTTTCAATGCTCGGGCGAGAAAGGGATTCCTAGATGACAGATTTGTTCCCACCTTTCTTCCTTATACTCGCGAGTTTTGACAGTACGTCAGGCCGAGTGTTCTGTTCGTGGGGAACATGTTTCATCTTCTCGTTGGTGAACCTATTCATTCTTTCTTTTACCATGTTTAGGTATTCGATGAGGTTGTCGTTCTTGACATGGTACTCTCCTCGTACCTTGGACGCGACGAGTTAGGAGTCGGTGAAGATTTCTTCTATTGGGCTTTGTGTTATTTGGATAATTTCTTTTTTGGGGTTTTTAACTTAATTTTTTCACTTATAAATAGCCTTCAAAATTTACACTTGAAAGACATCCAGAAAAACCTACGGATCTCTCTCTTACTTTTAGTTTATTCTAGGATTTCTGAACAGAAATTATGTTAATCAACAAATCCATGAATTCTACGAATTTCACACTGCGCTTTTCACAAATTTTTACTATTGGTGTTATTACTTTGTTTTGGCTAATGATTCAATATGAAGTCCCTCCATTCTTTTATTTTCAATTTCATCTTTTATAGTTCTTTTTCTCGATAATATATATATATATATATATATATATATATATATATATATATATATATATATATATATTGTGCTAACCATTTAACACTTCTGGATATTTTCTCACCACTGCTACGATTCAAAAATCAATATTTTCTTTTCCACAGTATTCACACTACACAAAACCTTTTTATGCACATATTTTAGACACACATTCACGTTGAACAAGAGTTTTCTCCCAAAGCCAAATTCATACTATCAAAACCAGTAGGAGGAGGCCATTTCATTTTTTTATTTCACATGTTGTATATATTTTTTTTTACATTATTATGTTCACTAGCTATCCAATATCACTTCAAATTCTGTAGTATGTTTTGGTTTTACTTGCAGAGGAATAACAGAAGAAAGAACGTTTACTATGTGAATCAGTCGTCGATCTAACAAAGGTTTCCATGACCAACCATTTGTTCTCTAAGCAAGAATTTCAAAGAAAGAATGTTATGTTTTCACCATTATTGCTGCACACTGTGCTAGCCGTTATTGCCTCTGGTTCTGAGGATCTTACACAACATCATAATTGTTGAGTAATTGAGCCGTGAAGTGGCTTGATTAAGCATCAGGAAATTTGGGAAATCAAAATCGTTATTCCTTGTGGGGAACGATTTGACAAAGGAAGTGAAAATGGGAGATACAGTGGAAGAAACCAATTCATCAGAGAATTCCAACCCTGATCCCAATCCCAATCCAGAATCAGAATCAGAAACCCTAACATTAGATGGTGCCTCCTTCAATACCAACAATCAGAGAGAAATATTGAAAGCAATTGAAGTTGTCGAACAAGATTCCATCGTTATTACTCAGAGCTTCACTTCCATCTTCAAAGCATTCTGATTGTCCCTCTCTCAATCCACAATGACACCAATCTCTCACTCATCCGCGTACAACAGCAAAACGCAACAACAACAACATCAACTTTGCCGCTAACCCTTTTTTCCTAACCCCTGCAAAAAGAAAACGACAACACCATCAAAAATGCATAAATTCTCAAATTTTTAACCCATGAATGCTTACCAGTTTTACACAGGTTCATAAATATGGTTGTAGACACAGAGGAAGAAGAACATGAATGGGCCTCTGATAAAGAATTTATGCATCCTCCCTTTACCGTCGCCTACTCCTTTCACCGATTCTGCCATTGTTCTCCACTTCGTCTCTGTCGAAGATCCTTCATCTCCGCTCATCATCTTTTTGTTTCTGTTCAAATTTTTTGTCACAACTTCAAGCTTCCGTTCAATCCCGCACCTCCGTGGAATCATCACCTCCAACCACACCTACCTTCCATTATCTCCGCCGCGACCCAACAAATCGACCTCCACGATCTCCTCCGCGCAAGTGCAGCTGCGACCTCCCTGCAGCAACACCGACAACCACCGTCAATTGTTGTTCTGACCCAATTCCACAGAGCACAGCGGACAACACCGCATCACCTCCTCTCGCCGGCCGAGATCCAGTCGCGCCGCCCTTCCATGTTCAACTCCGATCTACCACTATAAGTTGCTTCAATGTTTTCATGTTTTGATTATTTAACACATTTGTTCTTTGCTATAAAAGTAGAGAAGAAGGAAAAATAGTGTTTGAAAGAAAATAAGAAAGAGAAACAATGTTCGGCTTAAGATCCATTCATTTAGAGAATTTCCACGGTGAAAAATACTAACAAGTACAGGGGCTAATGATTTTTATTATCACAGCTTATTTTTATAATTATTATTAGGCAAAATATCATTTTTAGTCGCTCAACTTTACTTCTAGATCTATTCTAGTTCCTTATCTTTAAAAAGTTTTAAAGTGGTCCTTTAATTGTTCAAAAAGGACCATGTTATCCTTTTCGTCTAGATCGTTAGTCAAAGTCAATAGTAGAGCTTATGTGGCATATATGTGGCATTGCACGTGTTTACACTTTCGTCCAGGTGGATTAAAGTATCTTTAAAAAAAGGGTTAAAGCATTGCATGGGTTAAAGGATCAGATTACATCTCCAACAGTGTGAAGGAAATCCTAAGGCAGCCATTGTTGGTAGCTCCATTCTGCGAAGAAGCTGCAAGCGAAGTGAAGGCACATTCCGTTCTTGAAGGTGAAATCGACCACAACACTGCTCATCATAGGTAAGTTTCTGCAAAACTATGATTTTCGTAGTTGGGGTTTTTTGAAATCAATCTTTCTGAAATCTAATATCTTCCTATCCATTTAGGATATAATCTGAAATGGATGAATATCTGAACATTACAATACACCATAGTGGCGAATTTGTTACTGAGGACATGAGTGTTTACAAAGGTGAGATTGCTAATTTGAAAGTAGATGTTGATAAGTGGAGTTATTTGGAATTGATAAGTGCTATTAAAGAGCTAGGTTACGCAGATGTAGAGAATATATATTATAGGTATCCTACTGCTGGGGTGAATATGTTGGTTGATGACAAGGGGGCATTAGAGATTGTTGATCTATATAGGATTCATCTTAATGTTGAAGTTTTTATTCAACACATGTTGTCAAAGCCTGATTATGCTGATGAGACTGAAGTTGTGTTAGATGAGGTACCCCTTAATGTGATAGTTGATGAGGCAAAAGTTATGCTTGAAGAGATGTTGAATGAAACTGATGGAAGGGAAGATGGTGTTAGGGAAGATGATGTTAGGGAAGATGATGTTAGAGAAGATGATGTTAGCATGGATGGTGTTGGGGAAGATGATATTAGGGAAGATGGTGTTCATGCAGTAGGAACTGATGATAATGTATCAATGGTTGATGAGGTTGAAAGTGATGATATTGGACATAGGGCTGGTGAGATTGATGATGCTGTTAGACTAACTGATGATGATGATAGTTCTGATGATAGCACCTTCAATTATGATAGTGCAACAGAGGTAGTATTTGATGATGTCTCTGATGAGTATGAGACTGATTTGGAAGAGGAAGAGTGTAACCTAATTAACTATGAACAAATGGAAAGCGAAAAAGGTAAAGAAAAGTGTGAAGCAAACAAAGAAGATAGCAAAGGAAGTGATAATGAAAGTTATGATCTAGGAAGTATATGTGATAGTGATGATAGTAGTAAAGTTAGGAGAAAGAAGTATCCAGTTTTCAAGCTTCAAAAGGATATGGCCAATTACAAATGGGAAGTGGGAACCTACTTTAGTACAGCAAAAACTTTCAAGGAAGCCATTACCTCTTATGCAGTCCAATCTGGCATAAATTTAAAGTTCATTAAAAATGACAAGACCAGGATTAGGGTTAGGTGTAAGGAAGGATGTGAACGGGAATCATATTGTGCTAAATTGTCTACTGATGATTCTTGGAAACTAAGAAAGGTAGTAGTCACTCATAATTGCAGTAGAGAATATAATGTGAAGTTAATGAAGACTAAATGGTTGAGCAAGAGGTTGTAGAATTCACTTAAAATTAACCCTATAATGAAAATTAAGGACATTAAGGAGAAGGTACAGAAGAAGTGGAATGTGGGGGTCAACAAAACCAAGGCCATAAGGGCTAGGTTTGCAGCCAGAGACATAATCGATGGGTCGTTCCTAGGGGATAATGCAAGGATATATGACTATGCACACGAGTTATTAAGAGCTAACCCAGGGTCAACTATAAAAGTGAATGTTGAACCTGCACAAGAAGGTGGTGTTCAGAAATTACATTTCAAAAGGATATACATATGCTTGGAAGGTTGTAAGGAAAGCTTTAAGTTAAGCAGACATTTCATTGGACTTGATGGATGTTTTTTGAAAGGCCTTTGTGGGGGTCAAATACTTGCAGCCATAGGCAGAGATCCCAATGAACAAATTCTACCAATAGCATATGCAGTGGTGGAGAGTGAGAACAACGATAGCTGGACATGGTTCTTAGAGCTGCTTATTGATGATTTTGGGGGAAGAGAAGAGTGCCTCAGATACACTTTTATCTCTGATCAACAAAAGGTATGGCTCTATTTTTAATTTTGTATTGATAGGTATTTCATGTTACAAATTCTCATGTTACATTTTTGATGACTTAGGGATTATTGCCTGCAATGGAAGAACTGCTGCCTAGAGTTGAACAACAGTTCTGTGTTAGGAATCTCTACAATAACTTTAGGAAGAGGTATCCAGGAAAAAAACTAAAGGAAATAATATGGAAAGTTTCCAAGTCGACTTACTACCAAGCTTGGGAAAGAGAGATGAAAGTAATGAAAGAGCTCAATGGAGAAGCATACAAATACATGATTAAAACCCCTCCAAGGTTTTGGAGAAGATCATACTTCAAGACTGATAACAAGTGTGATGTTGTTCTCAATAATATGTCAGAAACATTTAACAGTGTCATCCTGGAGTCTAGGGTCAAGCCTTTGATAACCATGGTGGGAGAAATTAGGGTATACATGATGGAAATATGGGCTACAAACAGGATGAGGTTTGAGAAATTGGCAGATGTTGAAGTGTTGCCTAACATTATGAAGAAGGTTGAAAAAACAAGTTCATACATAAACATGTGGCTTATCAGGTAAATTGCTTTAAACAAATTTCTTTAAAGTGTATATATTTGAAGTGTATTTATATTTGGAATGTATATTTATATGTTAGGATGTCTGATGAGCATATATTTAAAGTGAGGCATCTGGAAAACTTAGCTGAAAAATTCACAGTCAACCTAAAGGAAATGTACTGTTCATATAGAAGATGGGAGCTAACAGGCCTGCCTTGTGTTCATTCACTTGCAGTAATCAAAAGTAGGAACCACAAGATTGATAACTACATTCCTGATTATTACAGGAAAGCAAGATATATACAAGTGTGCAAACCTGTAATATATCATGTTAATGGCTCAAACCTGTGGATGAGAACAGTGTATCCTGATATTCTGCCCCCCAAATTTAGGAAAATGTCCGGAAAGCAAAAAAAAAAAAAAGAGGAACTTAGAGCAAGGTGAGATAGATGGTTCTGATAAAAAGATGAGAAGGACATGATTCATTATAAAGTGTAGAAGGTGTAAGAAAGCAGGACACAACAAGCTTACTTGCAAAGTACCAACTACTAGTTAAGCATCTCAACCAACTCAAGCATCTCATCCAGCTCAAGCATCTCAGCCAGCTCAAGCATCCCAGCCAACTCAAGCATCTCATCCAGCTCAAGCATCTCAGCCAGCTCAAGCATCTCAGCCAGCTCAAGCATCCTAGCCAGCTCAAGCATCTCAGCCAGCTGTTTCTCAATCATCCAAGAAAGTGAATCCCAAATCCAAAATGTTGCAAGTTAGAAGGCCAAATGCACCTTTTGTCCCACCTGGTCCAACAACTAGGTTGAATGCATCTAAAACTGTTGTAGGTCCAACAACAAGAAGGACGACACCTATTAAGAGAGCTGCAACAAAATGGAAAGCTTAGATTAATTTCTTTAGAATAATAGTTCTATTAGGTTATGTTAAATTTAGTTAAGCTATTTTAAAGTGTTTTGAACATGTACTGTCTAGTGTTGTTTTGGACCTGTCATATCAGGTTTCTTGGACATGTAAAGTATGGTTTTTGGATATGTAATAGTAGTGTTTTTGGACGTGTAATATTAGGTTTTTTGAACATGAAAATTATGAATATTAGTGGTATCCACCACCTTATGTATTGTTGTTGACTTCATTCAGTTGATTTTTAATTTTTATGCTATGATTTCACTCAAAATGTTACACCAGTTACTGGAATTTACAAAATTCATCAAAAATACAGTTCCAAAATTACACCAGTTTCATACAGTTCCAAAATTCATACAGTTGCATACTGGATTTTACACCAGTTCCAAAATTCATTACAAAATGTTACAAATAAAACATACAAATTCATCAATTAACAACATCATCTTCTTTTCAAATGATATTACAAACGATACTGGAATTTACAACATCACCCAAATGACAAAAATTAACAACACACAAAACATTATTTTCCATATTTTTTCGGAATTCATCATTTTCTTCATTTCAATTTGTAACCCCTTATCTTTTGTTTCACTCCATCCTTTTGTTCCTTTAAAGACAGTATCTCCATTTTTGCTGCATCAAGGTCATTTTGAAGCTTCTCCAACCTACTATTTTGCTTCTTTATGAACTGCTCTTTCTCATCCACAACATCATCATAGAACCATTGAAAGTATCCACATCCAGTTTCAGATGAACCATGTGTCATTCCAAATTTAGATAGATCAGAAAAAATAATATGAATAAGCCATTTAATTTCCTTCTTACCTTATAATGATGACAACCTCAAAATTGCTTCCCAAAATTCACGTGAGTTGAAACCCTTCGAAGAGCAGTTGTGTCTCCACAGTCACATATGGGTTTCCATCGGAAATTTCCATCTAAACATCCACTGTTGTTGACCTTCGAATCATATGAACACTGACCTGAGTATGCTAATGATGATTGCTTTATTTTCCTCAAGCAATTACAGAATCATAAGGGGAAGAAAATTGTTGAACCCTAGAATTTTGGGGGGTCTGGGGTAGAAGAGAAAGAAATGGGTGATGCAGACTT